CACCTTACCTTTACCTGAAAAAATGATGTGGCACACGGCCTGAGTATTTCAAAGAATACTCAGTAAGTGGCCCCACTATAGGGGCCATGCAAATGCAAACACATGCAATCATGATTTAGGGACCTATCTCTAATCATCTTAGGGGTGGCCTCCAGTCTCGGACAAATTGGATGTGTAGTACTTCTCTACACACGACTTACACGTGCGAGTGTGAATCCCCAGGGCGCTCGCACACCCCCTCAACCCTCTGGTCAAGCTAATCTGTAGCGACGTCCGGAGGTCAGTGGAACCCCATAGTGTCATGCACCTCATGAACACCCTCATTTGTGTGCTTTCGCACCTGTGCGCATTCGCGCTCATCGTACGGTGTGCGTCCGCACTCATCATCTCTAGGGAAAGTAGCCCTATGCTTATGAACATACAATATGCATGAGGTCCCTCTAAATCCATCATAATGTCTCTTCTGACACAACCCTCTAGTCTCATCTCTTTGTTACTCTAGGTAACACATACTCGTGGATATTTATATTAATATCATTTACACTCTCTTAGGGTTGTGTCCTATGTCGATCTAACGACATGATGCAATATGGCACTCATCATCATATAGCATGCTCAATATGGAAAACATCAACATATTAAGGTAAACGTCACGCAATCATCATACTCATCATATTGCCACAAAGTGCATCAAACATATCAAGTACGACATTCATCAAAATATATATATACTGAGCACATCATCAAGTATCGTAACTCACACATCATCATAACTCATACATCATCATAACTCATATACCGCATCGTACGACATAGTTCATACATCATCGTAACTCATACAATTTTTAGCCTATCCTATAGTAAGACCACTTACCTGGTTGGCCTTAGCCGAAATATTCCCTAATTTATTTAACGTAAGCTCCCGTTCCTCCAGAACTACACAAAATGTTGCCAAGGTTTGCTTCCTATGCATCGTTCGTCACCTTTTGTTAGTATTTCACATTTTAATTAATAATCCAACTAATCGTGTGAAATACGGCTCTAAACGGTCTCAATAAAAATCGAATTCAATGTTTTCATTGTTTCCAAATTATATGGGATAATAAAACTTAAAACTTAAATTAATAATATGTCAATATTATTAATATTTCAAGTGGCTTGTATAATTCAACATTTAATGTTATATCCTATAGATACAAATATAATAAATTCAACCCGTTCTAATTTTCTTTTCTTTCCTAATATCTTCTCTCTCTCTTTTTTTTTTGCACTCTAATTCTTTGGAGTCGTTCAATTCTACCTCCATATCTGATTATTTTAAGCAATTTAAATCTAATTCTTTTAATCACTTTCTCGAGTTTAATTCTATAATTCTTTTAAGCATTTTATTCCGGGTTTAATTCTATTCCCAGATTTTCTTTGGCTTTACTATTCCCGAATCTTAGTTTTTTTTTTTATTTGACTATGTTTTCCAGATCTTCTTTTCATCTTGTTTGCCAAATCTTAGTTTTTTTTTTATTATTTGAATATGCTTTCCAGATCTTCCTTTTCCCTATTTTCCTTTTCATCCTGTTTCCAAATCTTCGTTCTTTTTTTTTTTTTAATTTGAATATGCTTTCCAGATCTTCCTTTTCCCTATCTTCCTTCTCATCCTATTTTCCTTTTTTTTTTTAATATGTTTTACAGATCTTTCTTTTCATCCAGTTTTCCAAATTTTAGTTCTTTTCTTTTTTTATTTGAATATGTCTTCCAGATCTTTCTTTTCCCTATCTTCCTCTCTTCCTTATCTATTTATTCCTGAACCAATTTTAATGTACTCTAGCTAGGATAGATAATTTCTAATTCACATCATTCAACAGATAATTTCTAAATTTCTAACTCACATCTAAATAATTGTTAATAGGAAAAGGTAAATCTTACTAACCTAGTACTTCCCTATACACACTCACATGTGCGAGTGTAAATTCCCAAGGCGCTCGCACACCCCCTCCTCTGGTCAAGCTAATCTGTAGCGACGTCTAGAGGTCAGCGGAACCCCATAGTGTCATGCGCCTCATGAACTGAAGGGAATGAACTCTTCATCCACGTAGCAGAAGCATTGGGAATCATTTTGATTTTATTATGAATTAAAAGAAAAGCAATAAATAAGAAAACAAGAACTCTAGCTCTGTAGAAACCCTAGCTTGCAAGACTCATGGGAGTATTCGAACCATGCAAAAGTTCTTCAACATTCAACAAAATCTTTCCTACTATGACTCAAACACAAGATCAAGGCTTGTGGGAGCCTCTTGAAAGAAAATCTTGAAGGGATTGAAGAAAGTTTCGAGAATTCTCTTGAGTTATAATTTCATTCTCCAGAGAAAGTGGGAGAGATTGTATGTCTTTTCTCAACCCGAAGGTCATATTTATAGGGATTATGGGAGAATCTTTGCCAAAATAATATATTTGCATATTTAATATATTAGGATATATTATCTTATACAAATTATATTTAGATATTACAAGATATTCTAATATATATTTAATTAATTTGAATCTCATTCAAATTTCAAATATATTTTTAGTTAATGTATCACATTAATTGATTTAATATTTAATTATATTAAATACAATAAATGTATTTTTCTTTTAATATATCTAATATGTTAAATATTAATTTGAACACTCGAAATTAATATATTTTTCTCTCTTTATCTTTAACCTATCTAATATATTAAATATTAATTTGAACCTTTCAAATTAAATATATTTTCTCTGTTTATTTAATATATCTCATATATTAAATATTAATTTGATATTTCAAATTAAATTTATTTTCTCCTTTATATTTAATATATCCAATATATTAAATATCAATTTGAACCCTTCAAATTTTCTTTCAAATAAATTGAATCTTTTAGCGTTACTATGAGTTAACTAGGAAACCTTATCCTATAGATTATAAACTCCAATGATAAAAATTAATTAATTAAGCTCTTTAATTAATCAATTTCCATTCATTAACTATAGGTCACTCCACTATAGACCTAAAGTTGCACTCTTATGCACTGTAGGGCAAGTTATGTCCATTGATATAATCATTACAAGCAAGTCAATTATTCACGAGTTGTTCATAATTATAGCTGGGTAAAAGTCCGTTTTACCCCTATAGTTACATCTTTCACCTTAAGTACCATTGATTCTCTTATGAACAATTTGTATATGATTCAATCATAAACCAAGTCTCTCTAGGGCCAATGAGAGGGTGGGGCCCCATTGTTCAAGTCCCGAAATGAGTACTTACAGAACAACTCATCTACTTTCCTTATATGGAAAGAAGGGAATTCCATCTCATGATATTATGTTCCAACTCCGTATTTGGTCAAGTCCCCAAAATGGTAGGCATATTGAATCGGCTAAAAGAATCATTCTTACCCATGTAAATTAAAGGACAAGGCCTTAGAGGCAGGAGTTCATAACTCACTCAGGATTAAGATCGAGTCGCATATGATCATCTTGTGAAATATTAATCTTCTCAATTAACAGATTTATAAAGAGAGATTAAATATTTCTTGGTCCAATCTTATACAAATTCATTGTATAGGATACCCCCACTTATATGTCTCCACATGAACGATTTGGATCAACTCATTTGTAACTGTAACGACCTGAAAATAATAATAATAATAATAAGAATAAGTAAATAATAATTATTAAAAAAAAAAAAGAGTAAATTATCACTCTCTCTCCACCTTCCCCAAATATCTCCCCCACACGTCAGCAAAATGATCTAAAAAAAAGAACTAAACAGAAAAAAAACAGATATTGAGAAGGGAAAAATAAAAAAAAAAAAGAAACAAAGTAAAGATCACAGATTTTAGGAGAGAAGAATTGGAGATGGCCTTCACTTCAAGCAGATTTAATAGGAATGAAAAGAGACCAAAAAGTAATCGGTAAGTTAGATCTTCTTTTCTTTTATCTTTTGCCAGAGATAGAAAAGTTGTCTTAGATCTCCTTTTCAATTATTTAGATTTCTGAATATCGAATCGAAAATCAAAATTGATTGAAAATGGGTTTGTGAATTGATGAGTTATGAGTTATGATGATGTATGATGTATGACTTTAATGATGTATGAGTTATGATGATGTGTGGGTTATGATACCTGAGGATGTGCTCAGTATATATATATTTTGATGAATGTCGTACTTGATATGTTTGATGCACTCTGTGGCAATATGATGAGTATGATGAATGCGTGACGTTTACCTTAATATGATGACGTTTTCCATATTGAGCATGCTATATGATGATGAGTGCCATATTGCATCATGTCGCTAGATCGATATAGGGCACAACCCTAAGAGCGTGAAATGATATTAATAAAAATATCCATGAGTATATGTTACCTAGAGTAACATAGATATAGACTAGAGGGTTGTGTCAGAAGAGACATTATGATGAACTTAGAGGGACCTTATGCATATTGTATGTTCATAAGCATAGGGCTACTTCCCCTAGAGATGATGAGTGCGGACGCGCACCGTATGATGAGCGCGAATGCGCACAGGTGCGAAAGCACACAGATGAGGGTGTTCATGAGGTACATGACACTATGGGGTTCCGCTGACCTCCGGACGTCGCTACAGATTAGCTTGACCAGAGGATCCAGGGGGTGTGCGAGCGCCCTGGGGATTCACACTCGCACGTGTGTGTAACGACCCTAAATTTCCACATATCTAGAGTCGCCACTAACGTCTCATGCTCATCTCTAATGCAGAATAAGAATCTAAGCATGCTCACCTTTATTAGCAGAAAAATTTAAAACTTCAGAATACATTAAAACATTGAAAAACACTGCCGGACTTACGTGTTTCAATCATCGTGCTGGAGTTCAAAAGACAAAATAAAAAGATTACAAATTAATTAATATAAATGAATGAAATGCAAACGCCCTATCCTAACCAAGACTAGGAATTTTAAATATGCAACTATCCTATGCACGCGCCACAGTCTCTGATCACGATGCCACCGTCAACCGTACATGGGAGCCTTGCCTTTACCTGAAAAACAATATGGCACACGGCCTGAGTATTTCTCGAAATACTCAGTAAGTGACCCCACTATAGGGGTCATGCGAATGCAAACACATGCAATCATGAATAGGGACCTATCTCTAATCATCTTAGGGGTGGCCTCCAGTCTCGGACAAATTGGATGTGTAGTACTTCCCTACACACGACTCACACGTGCGAGTGTGAGTCCCCAGGGCGCTCGCACACCCCCTGGACCCTCTGGTCAAGCTAATCTGTAGCGACGTCCGGAGGTCAGCGGAACCCCATAGTGTCATGCGCCTCATGAACACCCTCATCTGTGTGCTTTCGCACCTGTGCGCATTCGCGCTCATCATAAGGTGCGCGTCCGCACTCATCATCTCTAGGGGAAGTAGCCCTATGCTTATGAACATACAAAATGCATGAGGTCCCTCTAAATCCATCGTAATGTCTCTTCTGACACAACCCTCTAGTCTCATCTCTTTGTTACTCTAGGTAACGCATATCGTGGATATTTATATTAATATCATTTTCATGCTCTTAGGGTTGTGTCCTACGTCGATCTAACGACATGATGCAATATGGCACTCATCATCATCTAGCATGCTCATTATGGAAAACATCATCATATTAAGGTAAAAATCATGCAATCATCATGCCCATCATAATGCCACAACGTGCGTCAAACATATCAAGCGTCACTCAACAAAATATGTATATACTGCACATATCATCAAGCATCATAATCCACACATCATCATAACTCATACAATTATTTAGCCTATCCTATAGTAAGGCCACTTACATGGTTGGCCTCGGCCGAAGTACTTCCTAAATAGCTAAACGTAAGCTCCCGTTCCGTGAGAGTTGCTTCCTACTTCGCTGGGGTTTGTTTCCTATCACACCGTTCACCACTTCCGTTAGTATTTCACAATTAATTTACCTAATTTAATAAATGTGAAATACGGCTCTAAAACGGCCTCGGATACCTTAATCGGGGCCGAAAACAGATCCAGGAGGGTCGAAACAGTGGAAACTGGGCTGAAAACAGGTGAGCCGAGCCGAACAGCCGCTGGAGCCGCCGAAGGAGCCGCCGGAGAGTCACCGGAGGGAGCCCGAGCCGTTTGCGCCGAGCCGAGCCGAGGACTGCCGCGCCGCTGTGTGACACGTGGCAGCAGCAGAGAAAGCCACGTCGGGCGGTAGTGTCGGGTCGAAGCGCGGGTCGCAGTCTGGTTCGGGTCGTGGTTCGGGTCGCGGCTGTGGAAGGCTACTGGGCCAAGGCTAAACGTTGGGCCTCGGCTTACTGGGCTGGGCCGCAAGTGTTTGGTTTGCAGGCCGGCTCAATTGGACCGTGAGTCTAGTCCGGGTTGGTTCAACTGAACCGTAGCTTCTGGGCCGGTTTGAGGTTTGGGCCGCTGTAGTTGGGCTGGGCCGAAGGCAGAGGCCAAGGGGGAACGGGCTGGCTCTCCCGGGTTCTGGGTTCGGGTTGACCCGGATTCGTGGATCTCGTCTTCCTTACCCGACTCTGGCTGATTTTCCGGCGAGTTTTCTCTCTCCTTCCCGCGGCGTTTCCGTTGTCGATTTCGGTCCTCTTCCTTCCCTTTTCCTCTTTGTTCGTCGTCCTTCTTTCCTTTTTGGGAGTTTTGCGGCCTAAAAGCTCCTAAAAGCCATATATCTAAGAATCGATTAAGAAACCTAACTTTCCGACCTCGGTTACCGACGACGACGCTTACGAAATAACACCAAATGCACCCTGAGTTATTGTGCTTTCGTTAGGGATCTCTCTTACGGTAGTAACAGGTCGTTTGGTGTCGGTTTAAGGGTGGTTTGAGGGCTCGTCGGAGAAACTGAACACTCGCCGACGTTTGTCCGAAATCTCTCTCTCTCTCGAAATTTTCTCTCTTTTCTCCCTTTGCAGGTGTTCTGAAGATGCTGGGCTGAGGGTGGGCGTGCTGTGGCCGTTGTTTCGCGTGGGTTCCGCGAAACTCGGCGGTCGCAGGAAAACTCGCGGGTTTTCCGACGACTGGGTTTTT